GTCGTTGCTCGCGCTCTGAAGGAGCGAACTTGAGGTTGGTCCTTGATGACTCTTAACTGTCAACGTTTCCATGCCAACCCACTGCTAGGTTGTACACTGCGGTGCGAAGTTCCCTCCTCACAGAGCGGGGAGGGGGAAGGGGCTTAGAGGCGTGGAATGAGCTCCTTTGCAGCATTTTCTACTAGGTTGTTTTCTAGCTTAACTATTTACACAGCCTAGGGGCTAATTTAGTTCCCTGACTCTATAAATAATGGTCCTTTCCCACAGATTCTTTTGACAGTCCCTTCGTATACAATTTTTCTCGAGATCTCTTCCTCCATCCTGAGACGGAGGGGTTCATTCGCAAGTGGTGGAAGTTACTACCCACAGTACCGGGGTCAAATGGAGGTTCACTGCTGCAAGCCTTCCATTATCCCAAGGACTTTCACGTAGTTCACTTGCACTCACTTTTAGTGGAGGATAAGGTAACTTTTTTGTTCACTAACCCGATTGCTGACCCCCAAGGTCACTATATAGGTCAAGTCGTGCCAAAAAAGGAATGACAGTACAATAGATAGCATTCCGGAGTGAAATGTCTCATAGCTGAGTGTTTTGATCTTGTAAACCATTATTTGGTGTTTTTTAGACTTTGATACCCATATATGAACCTCCTTACAGTACCGAGCTTTTAATCTGTATATAATGGCTAGCAAACTTTTGAAAATGATCAGTAGGATTTCTTTTAAATTCTTGTCCCTGTAAGGAACTTGAGGCTGCATTTAAAAAAATGAAATATTCATGTGGTGTTTCAGGATCTTTCCACTGGTGCATGGGAAGCGATGACTGAACTAACAGTCCCTGCCAAATCGGATCCTGCGACAAATCCTTTCATATCGTCAGCAAATCGTATCAAGCGAGGGTACGCGAGATATGGAGGAGGCGGAGGAGGAGGACACCGTGGAGGAGGAGCTGTAGCATATAAAGGAGGAGGTGGTGGAGGTTATGGAGGGGGAGCAAGAGCGTATGGAGGCTACGGAGGAGCCGGAGGAGGAGCCGGAGGAGGGGGAGGAGGATATGGAGGAGCCGGAGGAGGAGGAGGA